ATTTACTTAGCGTCCAAGGAGAACACACTAAAATAAACAAATGCCCACTATTACAATTTGTTGTATTTGTGGCTTTGTTAGTTTCAATGTTGTGTCCTAAATATACGCCAAATGTGAAGTATTAACACAATATATCTACACAGTTTTACTGAAGAATGTGGCTGAGTAAGAAATGGCAGCCTCAAAAGCTTTAAAACGATAGTGACAAAGCAAATCATATTAAATTGAATCAAATTAATATTTTTACAGCCATTTACAAAAAAACAGTTTTGATCTTGACAGCTTATCTCTGCTCGAATAGCAGCCGTGCAGGGAAATAATGGTACCCGCCATGAAGCTGAAATTTAAACTTCAAAGTGTTCAGAAAAACATAACCATGTGACCTACGTGGTATCATCAGTGTGCTGCTGGCTTTCTGTTGAACAAGCAGGTTCATCACTGTATGGTTATTGCAATATTCGAATTTCAAATTTGTCTACTTGCCTACTGACAAAGTGATATCGTTGGCGTTGGTGCGTTTTTAATGGAGGAACAAAACAAAACAAAAAAGTTAAGCCTTTAAAAGGTGATGTCCCTGTGGGTACAGCCAACCTTTATATACAGTCTATTACTGATAACACCAGTTCTTTTTCATTTAATTAAGTAATATTTCAACAGCAGTTCTACTTGAGTGCACACTTTCACTGCTCTTTCCACCTCTTCACACCAGAGGTTAACATCTCAGCATTTCCTCACCCTTGTGTAGGAGATTGTTGCGTTTCGATGCTGCGTGTGGAACTGCAGAGTGATGAAAGCGACCTCTGATGGGATCGTGGACACCACCGCCTGCACCGTCTCATTCTGCGAGATGCTCACGTTCTGGAACCTCCCCGGCAGGAAAATCACCCGGTCTGAGCAAGAAAGGGGAAAGTGTGATTTATGTATTCTGTAAATCAGGATTTTTGGTTCTCTTTTAGTCACATCACTCACCACCCGGCCTGCTCGCCAAATTTATCTCACTCACTCCAAAAATTAAAATAAAGTCTTCTGACACAGTGGTGGAGAGGCACAAGTTGAAAGGGGTGTGATTACCACAGAGGGATCTTTAACAGTACTTAAAGAGGTTCAGATAAAATTTGATGAAAATTAAATTTAAAGTCATGTGAGCGCTGATTTTTATAAGCCTAGTCCAAGAAAGTTTATGATAAATTCATCACAGTACTTGTACACAGTATTTGTTCTCCTGCTTCAGTCGATCTAAGTTACTGTGGAAAAGAAGACTGGCTGGCAGGTTGTAGCTGGTACTAGTCAACATACGGTAAAATGCTAATCACCTGACACAGCAGCAGTTTTGACAGTAGGTGATAAGCCAAACACGCCACCTTAAACCAGATCCTAAAACCGATTAATCACACAAAAGCCTGAACGAAGGCGTGCTCTCTGTGCTGAGGCTACTATACAGAAATAATCGAGTGTACCATCTAAATTTGATACGTTGATTAAATGGCACCATAAACATCCTTCAACATCTCAGAAAGTGGAGGCTTTGTCAGAGTGATGGCTGGACCTGAACTGTAAAATGTCAGCTGCTCATTTATTATGTTTCCTGTTGTGTAAAGATCTGCATACAGAGATTCAGTTCAGAAAACAAAACAAAAAATGTATTTATAAACCGCTTGATAGACTAGACTCATAAAACATGTCTTCTTCTTCTGAACATCTGCTTACATGACTACTGGTTTTCGTTTTGTTTATGTCCTTTCTAATAGATCTGCGTTATTCCATAAAACAAAGTTCCACAATAACTGGAACCAATCAGGCAGCCTATATCTTATCAGTGTCCTCACTTAACATCAAACTACAGGCTGAAGTTTCCTTACTGGCCATTTCTGACTCATTCGCCTGATTATATATAACCCACTGCGGTCTAAGCTCCGGTGAAGACCTCTAATTCTAACCATAACTGAAGGCAATCAGAATGAGGGTTTTTTTTTTAATCATAGGCCAGTGTTGATTACACTTAACAGTTGTATTTGAAATATTAAGACAATGAAGCATAATTCAGGCACCAAGACTGACAGCTACAAATGTGGCATCATACGGCCCTTTAAAAAGAACAGATTACACTGGAAAACAACTGTTTTTTCCCCTCTTTGAAAGGTGATGCAGATACACAGAACAGACAGTGAAATGTGAACATGATTATGCCATTTTTATATTATTGTAGGGTCTTTACCTCACAATATAAAGCGCCTTGTGGCAACTGTTGTTGTGATTTGGCGCCATATAAATAAAAGTGAATCTTGGTAATAATTAAACAAAACAAAACAAAACACTGTGTTGGTAACTGCACTTGTTTTCAGTTAGGCCACACTTCTGGTTTTGTTGCACTCACACACAGCAATCTTCCACACTTCCTTAACTATTACTGCATAGTTCCTCAGCAGGAACTGTGTGGGAAGACTTCAAACATCGAAGACTGTGTGTTATGAGGACGAGAGGCTCACAATGTGTGAGGTAACTTTTTGCAAGATTCATTAAGTTGCTGTGTGAAAATCAAAGAATGTTTTGAAGTTTTCAAAACACACACAGCTCAGGATTATCAGTGCTTTTAGATTTATCATTCCTGACAGATCCTGCTGACCTGGTCAGTGATTTTAATTTAGCGCTTTGAGGTAGGGACAACATGACTGGTTAATTTCAAAGCAGGCTACACACACTGCAAAGGTGCCTACGCACTCCTGACATGCAGAAAGAACTTCAGCCTCAGGGCAGAGTCTGGTCTAACACAAGTTCAATCACTTTGCATCGTGTTGACTGCCATCTTTGCTTTTTGCATCAGCCGAACTGCTTAACTGACAATTATTGAGCCCTTTATATGTAATCATATTTTTATATATATATATATATATAAATATATGGTTTTCCAACCCTTTTTCATCCTGGGTTGTCAAATTCTGATGTTTCTTCAAAGCAGCTAGCATGTCACGGATAAACAACAGACTCCTTTGGTATTTGTGCCATGATGAACCTAATGGCTAGACAGCATATCTCTTCCAAGC